GATGGTTAACCACTATTGGTGGTACCAAACCTAAGCTGAGGACATTTCTCTACGGCACTTGATAACTTATTCTTACAGCACATTACAAGTATAAGATTATCAAATTATTATACTTTTTTGTTTATAGCAGGTTTTTGGGGGGATAAATACAGTAGTTTCTATTGCTTGCAAGGGCCAGGCCAGACAATCAATACAGTAATATTAGTCGAAATTTCACACATGCCCTCGAAATTTACCCTAAAGAAGCCATGAGATTTCACAACGTGGATATCTTACACCGAAGGACAACTGACATCAATCATCCAGAACATGACCTTTTTTGTTTCTCTTTATACCCCTAACATGCAGGAAAGACAGTCAGTTTAAATACTAACCTTTTGGGTTCTCCCATCTCGCACACAACTTCCTGAACTTCTCGCTGGTTACTCTATCAACTGTTATTAAAACCTCTTCTACCCTCTCGACTCTATAACTAGTCGACTCTTTGAGGGCTCTCCGAGTCTTTTGATTCAGCGGACTTTGCCGCAAAACATAACTCCCTTATTTATGACACACGACGTGGCACCCAGGGATTGCTGTGGGCATCATGCCGAGGTGGAAGCGAGGCTGGAGTTGACATTGTTTTGATACAAACCTTCCTGCTTCAATATGTAAATCAAGTTGTTCTTATGCTAACTACAGGCCCCCTGTAGTATTTCTCAAGGATACTTTCCATAACAAAGCAAAGGAGGTTTGTATCAAAACAAGGTCATCGTCAGATTCACTCGAAGGCTAGAATATTAAGTCCACAACTGTATAATGGTATTTGAATTTTATAAGAGAATGTAAAAGGTTCTAAATTCCACTTTGTGAAAGATTCGGAATAAAAATGACTCTTCTTTAGATTGTGTTTTACAGTCAGTTTGCTTTTTTTGCGGAGCCATTTCGAAGTAGCCTGCGAACCGCAGACGTATTTCCGGTCGTCGCTTCTCTCCCTCCTTTTCTTTCAATATAAAAGGGTGACTTGTTGGGCCTCGGGGCGGAGCCTCCCCGTATAAATCTTTGTTGACTGACCCTCCGGTGTTTTAGATTCAAGCTTTAGAAGCGAACTGACTGTGAAACACTCGAAAAAAGAAGGTGAGTATTTTTTAGTTCGAATATTTTCAAAAAGGAAATTAAGAACGTATTTTGCTTATTCTCATACATCCCATTCTCCTACAAATATCAAATTCTGACGAACTCTCATAGAGCCTGGACTGCCTGTGTACGCAAGGGATCTTACTTTTTTTTTATGCCCTGTTGTATGCATTCCCTTTTTTTCTTCCTTTTCTTTCTTCTTCTTTTCAGTTCAGTCATAGAGTTAGCCAATGTTATTCTGATATCTCAAACCTAGGACTTCATTAGACCATAGTCAGTGATTAGACCTGAAGCTCACTCTCCCTGATCTTGATTAGGTGTTAGCGAAGTTAATTCTAGGAGTACGCGCCAGGAGAATATGACTCTTCACAAAAATGATAAGATCTTATATAAAGCTTTTCATTTGAATTTTATTCAAACATGTATCGTGATGGTTATTACGATAATAATAATAACATTTAAATTATTGTCCTTTACAGAAATAAGTTTCTCCAGCTTTAATTTATACATAATATATACATACACAGGTTATATCATATTGCCAAAAATAAATATTTGTCAAACGCATGTCAGCGTTTTGGTTGCCATATATACATCGAAGGGAGGATTATTAAGTACTGTATTTTAAGGCCAATATAAAGGAAAACACAATAACGCATGCGACGTTTACCAAGAGTGAGCTTATTATCATGGTAAAAAATCCAGGATAAAGGTTGTATGATCTTTTTTAAAGACATGGTTTGTAGTACGTCGGGCGGTTTGTACTTGATGTCCTTAATGCACGATGACGTTCGAATAATTATACGTGAGCTGCTGTTTAAACTGAGGCTACCATCCTTTTAACCTAGTCTTCCTCTACAAGAAAACCGTTTTTTTTCAGCGATGAAAAATGGTGTAACGTTATTTAGTCCCATTAATACGGAGAACCGCAAATTTTGTGCTCGATTATTCCTTTCTCGACTTCTTCTCACCCGTTTTTATATCCCGACTTTTTTGAACACGTACATCAAAGGGTCATTCATGCGTAGAAATGCTTAGACATGGCCAGGTTTGATTCCTGGCTTGGAATTATTTTACTTATCGATGGAAATGTAATGTTGTGCAGTTTGACCTCTCTACCTTTCTATCTTACAACATGGCCCTGTCCACACTAATCTGTTCTCAAAGTATGCGTTTTCTTTGTTTTGGTAAATGCATGATCGATTCGGGTGTACACTACCGATTTGATGCGTTTTCGACGTAAGTTGAACTCTATGCGCACGCTTCAAATACACGCGCCAGCGATATGTTCGGTCATCGTTTCATTTTGATGCGCGTCTTCGACCGTTTTCGACCATCCACACTAATAAGATATGTATGCGTTTTCATTTTGATCCACTTTCAAGAGTGTTTTAAAATCGATGCGTTTTCGATGAAAACACTCAGCGTACTGGTGTGGACAGAAGGCCTAAACGCATCGAAATGTATGCGTTTTCAGACGAAAATGCATTAGTGTGAACGAGGCTTAAATACATCAAATAATTCAGTGCTATTTTCATATCATCTCCTCCCGAGTAACATCTATAATGAAGAAGTTATGAATCAACACTCCGAGGTCCCACATGTCGGGTGTCGCCGCTTTTTGTACTCGTGGCGCAAAGTGATTGGCATCTGAAAAAAAATGCAATTTATTTGTGAATGTGAAGCTTTCGCTACTGTAGCAAAAATGATTGCAGTCGTGGCTTAAACACGAATAAACTCCATCTAATGAGGCTAGATCAGTGATGTAAGTAAAAGAAACGAAAATGGAAGACAATAAAAAAAGCTGCCGGTGGATGCAAGTCAGCAAAAGTCCGATGCCTTAACTTCGATTCCTACTTTTTTAAATTGTTCTGTAACGTAGTTCTAGTTTGTATCTCTTGGGCAAAATCTTGCAGTGTGAGTACCACTCAAGGGTTTCTTCCATTCTCTCAAATGGCCCTATTTTCTATGAATGCAATGTAGTCACTATTCTGTTGGGGCACTCTTGAGAATGGAAGGGTCATTTTGATTTCATTATGTTCTATTCGTACCTTCATTAATACATTTTACAGCCAACTCTCCGTAAATGTCCTGTAGATGCGTCTCCAGCACGTTTAGAATAACAGATCCTATTTCGTCCTTTGTTTTTCCCAGGAAATAATCGCTTGCTCGCGCAAAGTGTTGCAGATCCTGCATGATTTGTACATCGACAATTATCGATACAGAAACACGTCTTCGTTGCGCCGTCCTCACATTTTTGAAAACGTGTTTAAATGTTAACACGTCCAAAGTTAACCTGTGGAAATAATGTTGTAAGTGAAAGAGGAAATAATACATATTTAAACTTTAGCAGGGCATATGTATAATGACTGATATGAATGTAAAATTAAATTGAATATGAATTTTGAAAACGATTCCCATGCCATACACTTGACTGCTCTGTGAGAGGTATACCTTACAGCAATTTATAATTTAAATGTGTAATATTCATGATATTGAAAAAAAAAGTGTAACTGTTTGAATTCTGGTACATAGGACGCGTATACAATACCTTTCGACTTTACTTAGACCCGCCCAGGTCCATAAACATTTCCACTTTCCAGCAACAGCCTTGTATTTTTGAGTCCTAGGAATACAACATCCTCCTGTGAAGAAAAAAAAATGAATTTGAAATAAAGGAAATGGAGAGGTTTATAGCACAGAAAATTATTACTGGGGGCGTCAGACTTGAAATCAGAGGACCCACGGGTCCAAGTNCTATTCGTACCTTCATTAATACATTTTACAGCCAACTCTCCGTAAATGTCCTGTAGATGCGTCTCCAGCACGTTTAGAATAACAGATCCTATTTCGTCCTTTGTTTTTCCCAGGAAATAATCGCTTGCTCGCGCAAAGTGTTGCAGATCCTGCATGATTTGTACATCGACAATTATCGATACAGAAACACGTCTTCGTTGCGCCGTCCTCACATTTTTGAAAACGTGTTTAAATGTTAACACGTCCAAAGTTAACCTGTGGAAATAATGTTGTAAGTGAAAGAGGAAATAATACATATTTAAACTTTAGCAGGGCATATGTATAATGACTGATATGAATGTAAAATTAAATTGAATATGAATTTTGAAAACGATTCCCATGCCATACACTTGACTGCTCTGTGAGAGGTATACCTTACAGCAATTTATAATTTAAATGTGTAATATTCATGATATTGAAAAAAAAAGTGTAACTGTTTGAATTCTGGTACATAGGACGCGTATACAATACCTTTCGACTTTACTTAGACCCGCCCAGGTCCATAAACATTTCCACTTTCCAGCAACAGCCTTGTATTTTTGAGTCCTAGGAATACAACATCCTCCTGTGAAGAAAAAAAAATGAATTTGAAATAAAGGAAATGGAGAGGTTTATAGCACAGAAAATTATTACTGGGGGCGTCAGACTTGAAATCAGAGGACCCACGGGTCCAAGTTGTACACGGCATCCTCTGAAAAGGCTAAACCAAACTGGGCGTGGGGGAAGGGGGAGGGGGGGGGGAAGAAAAGTCGAGAAAGCCTGAAAAGACAGGGACAGGAGGAGGGAAATGAAAGAAGGGGTCTCTCCACAGTTCCCTTGGGAACATTTTCCTAGGTCACAGCTTACCAGAGGGTCTTTTGCGAAAGTAACATCGCTGCGGGCAAGTTCCTCTTTATTTCGAGTGACAAGTGACGGGCCGCGAGAGAACGCGCTCGCATCTCCTTTCGCGTGCCGCTCGCGCGTCACTTCTCACGGTATCTCTCCGACAGCTTGTTCGCAGGCTAGATAGTATCCGGTAAGAACAACTTCTTTTTTCGCTGAATCCAGATTTTTTATGGTCAAAATATGTTTTAATATAGCTTGTTACATAGGAATCTGAAATATGTGATTCTAAACGTAGATAATTTTTACCTTTTTTACTGAACTATTCTCTTAAAATGCGGAACAAGAACATTGTAAATCAAGAGAACATAAAGGCCCTGTTCCCTTGTGTAAATTTAGTATTTATTTCAACAGATGTTTTCAAGTTCTTTTAATAACAATATCCAACAAATGTTTTCAAGGCTGAGGATTCTCCGCATATCTTAAGGCCACTGTTGGACGAACGATGGCCACAATATTGCGCTGATGTACTCTTTGTACTACTTACTTACCGCTTCTAAATATGTAAAGAATGCAAAAGTCTATTTCAAGAAACTTTATTATCTATCTAAGGAACGTACTAAGTAAACTCAAATGATCTTAAAGGAAGTGCCCTTAGTCCGTAACATACATTCTTAATACATGATCGAATTCGAAAAAATTTTTATTTGTTTTCATTTCAAACGACGCCCTATTGCCCCTTTTTAAATGTTAATGGGGTTCACTGACAATTGACAAACACTAAGTCACGGTAGGTCTTTTGTTCTCCAAAACGCTGGAAAACTATAACACTGTATTGGTTGGTACTAGGGCAGCTCGTAGACCTCGTAATGTAAATTTCAGACATAGTTGGAATTGATAAAAAGTTCTAACTGAGACGAAAAGATCTCACAAAAGCAAGAAAATAGCGATGTACTATATCGAGGAACTCGAATCGCTTTAATTGAATATCTTGAAACCGAGCAGTTCAGTTCCGTCACTTAGGATTCTTTAGTCTCTTGAACCTGTTTTCAAAAGTATCAGCTTAGTATCGTAGTTATTTAATCAGTGATTTAATGTTAGAATTGGCATTAATCAGTTAAGCAAACCGCACACCTTTAGATTTATTTGTAGCAAAAGAAATAAATTTAGAATTGAACATTTGTTGACTTCTCAAAATGCAAACACAACAAGCTGAGGATAAAAAGCCTCACCTGAGACGACAACTGCCTCTCTGTCGCTCGCCATATGGCAATTACCCATTGTACACCGAATTCTTCAGCGATATCTTGTTAAAAAACCAATAATTTTACCTTAGAAGACGGTAAAGACTGCTGCGTTTGTGCGCTTTTAGTGAGTTCTTCGAGGTAATATCACAATATCCGTTTAGAATTAGGGTCATATGAGAATGCAATGCGCTTTTATAAGTCATCACGTCCGAGGTGATACCTTGAAATAGCTGACATTCCTGAACGAGTCAAGGGCTGCTTAAAAGACTAGTTCATCCCCGGTTTTACGTATATCAAATTAAGACAAACAGCAGTCCATACTTAGAAGACAACAATAATCAACAACGCAATGTGACATTTTGAAAGGAAATTAGTTATTAACCTTTTCTCGACCGCGGAAAATTTACTTCAGTCACAATTTTCTCTGAAGTAAATCCGGTCATTCACGTACGTGTAAACCGTCAGTCCTTAAAAACATACAATACGCTAAAAATAGCTCGGCAACAATCCTGTTTCAAGTTCTTTGGCATTCTTATTTCAAATTCTTAAAAACAGAGAAATGGAGACCCCTGGAGCATTTAAGTTTAGGGTGTTTAGTGTACAAGTTGTCAGCTCGGCTTAAGTTGCCTCATTGTCAATTCCCTTTCGTAAACAATCGAGAAAACATTTGGCTTAGAGAGTGGATTCGATAGCAGAGTTTTTGTAATTTAAATTTTGTCTCGGTAACGATTTTCTTTAGGGTGTGACATTTTCCTTGTGTTGTTGTTGTTGTTTTTTTTTTATTACTATATATGTATTTTTGTAACATGGGATCATGACGTGTCTCTCACTAAACATCCGTAGAAGCAAAATGAAACGTCTACCGGCTTAAATCTTCAGGTTTTATTGCCACCCCTCCTCTTCCTTTAAAATGCAAATACAAATGAAGACTCAAAAGACAATTTGTTTTCTCGCCTCTTGATCAGCCAACGAAAAGAGTCGGTTGCTTGCCAGGCTCCATCGCAGACGATAAGGCTCTATAAGTGACACGCTATATTTCTACTCCGGTAAACAATGACTAAAATAACTTTTCTTTTTTGAGTGATTTTTTCATATAGTTTGGTTTGATACAAGCTGACGAAATAATAGGAAATTTTTAATTTTAACCAAAAAAGTAAAAAGCCGCTCATCACCGTCAGGTGATGAGCGGCGTTTTGATGATAGGCTGGCGTTTGGTCGGCGTTTTGATGATAGGCTGGCGTTTGGTCGGATTTGATGAGCTTCAAACTCAGGGCTATATTTCAATCTATAAAACATTAAAAAACGAAAAATATAATTGTAATTTTGAATTATTTTTCAGCCATGTAACCTTTTCCTCTCAGATTTTGCAGACGTTGCCAAATCTATGAGTCACTGAGTTACATCCGACGCCCCTGCGGGGAAGAACGTGCACTCGTCCAATTCACTTCAAGCGCGCGCCTGTGAGTGTAGCCAGTCTGCGTAACTTTTGATTTCCTGTGCATTTTATTCATTACAAGCAGTTGTCAATGCCAATATGATATGTTTTTTTCGTACAAAATAATAAAGTTCATTTGTTTTCTCCGTCCAAGCAGAATTGCGTTGAGCGCAAATAGACCAAAACAGAACTTAGAACTAAACTTTTAAAAAGGAAAAAATTCCAGTAACCTGTAGCTTTAAAGCAGTTGTTCAGTTTTATCCTGTCACAGGTTCAAGCTGAATTATTATTGTGTAGAAAGCGGATGAGTTCAGATTCTGGAAGAAAATACGAAATATTATCTGCGACAGAACGTCTCATAGTTATCAAACCTCGAGATACTGCAATTAACGAAACACTTAGCACAAGTAAGCCTTTCCGGTGAAATAATGCACTATACCGCCTCCACTATTTGTGATAACAAGCATATTTATTTGGCTTTTGAGGGAGTATTGTGTAATTAAGATGTTATCTCAAAAACATACAACGGTATACGCATCATAATCAGCTAAAATGAGCAAAGTTTCTGCATTTCAAACATTAACTGAAACTCACGTCTGAGTGTGACATGAAACGTCTTTGTATCCATCCCGTTATCAAATTCGCACTTCTAACTTTACCTAAGAGTGTGCAATTTCCTCTTTTTGAGTAGAATGATATGATTTCGTTTGACCTTAAAAAACTGTTTCCCTACAACATAGGCTCGTCTTTTTGCCGCCAAAGAAAACCCAAAGACGAAAAAAAGCATCGTTCGCAGATTGTGTAATCGGCAGCCCAGTTTCTGTTGTCCCAAGTTATGGAGAACGTAATTTCAGCTATTCTTCTTTAGCTTGAAATCTGTTGCGTGTTACGTTCGCAGAACCAAACAAAACCCGCGCCCATTTGTCTGTTATATAAACCGATCAAATTCTTGATATATGTTGTGTGTTTGCTGATTCAGTTTTGCTCAAACGTAAGTACTGATTTCGCTCTGTCACGACACTTCGCAGCAGAACTGAAACTGCACTCAAGCAAGTACTTTTATAGCTTTAAGTCTTTTTGAGCTCGAAGTTTGCGGAAGAGAGAACTTTGTATCACGCGCTAAACAATCGCATGTTGCTTTTTGTACAAAAATCAAAGCTTAATAATACTTAACCAACTGAGCTTTTTAAAAAAATTTTCACCTTCGGTTTCTATCCTGTCGCTCTTTAAAACTTACCTATTTGTTACGTCATTAGTTGGAATTCAAATACAGAGAAGAAGTCGTTTCATCACGTTGTCATGGTAACAAAATTTCTGGATCTTATCAAAACGTGGTCCTGCGAATATGGCCGAAAAAACGAAAAAAAAAAATGACACGTATGACTTTCTCGTAGATGATTACACTCATGAACAAAACGGTAACCCAAACTGTTCTTACATCGTTCGACAACGCAAATGGCTGTCCCTGTTAAAAAAAATGTTAATATCCAGACATTTTGCTACCATGGTAACGTGACGTCACACTTCTCCTCTCTATTTTGCTGTCAATCTTGTGACGCCATTTTCCCGCCAAAACAGTTAAAATCGAAAAAAATGAAAAACATGCCATTTCACAAGCAAAGATTTCCCGGATTTCGGAAACTGGATTATACTCCCTTACTGAGGCGATGTGTCCTAGTAGTCCACTTCTTACCTCCATTGCCCTTCCTTAGCGAAAGAGAGCTTTTTTGACAAACAGTTTTCATGCTAGTACAAGTATAGTACGGGAAAAAGTTGCCTTTGATCAATTGCAACTTGGTGCTAAGGTGTGATAAAGCTAAACTGCATCAGACACTGGGAAGGGGGCTCCTGATCCTGCATTCTCGCTCCTTTTCACAACAATCTCGCATCATTTTTATGCCGAATACCGTTTTCTTTCCCAGTTCTGCGCGCATCCCAGTCCCAGGCAATGATTTGGCGAATCAAACCTCCCGAGTAGCGGCCAAATTCCGTTCCCATCAATAAATTTCTGAAATTTTGCGTTTTCATGAATCTCGCTCTACATTTCGGGTAAAATCCCGGGTTCCAAGAATACCCTTCCAGATCCTGCTCCATCGGAGGCAATCAAAAGTCCTAACCAGGGATAAGATGTACTTGGTATCAAAGATATACGTAACCTTTGACGCACTCAAAGTTACCTTTAACACGAGACAAAATAGTATCATTACTGGTTTAAGGCAAATACCACCTCCACCACCTGAGGCCGCGCGACTGTTGGGATATTTCCAAGGATACATATTGCAGTAGAATAGAATTATTGTCGAAATTCGCTTCGCGCGTTAATTGCTTAGCGCGGTGAAAACTCGGGTTGCTTTAATATCGTGTTTGTGTCTTGCAGTTGCCTAGCAACAACACTCGAACTTCGAAAGCTGTAAGTTACCATGAGGAACAAAAGTTAGCCCAGTACTTGACGTGTAAAAACTACGTTTTGGGTAGTTTTGGTTCTTCTCTCCTCCAGACAGTGACCAAAAAAGGGGCTCTACAAATTCTTCGTATTAGGGTTTTTTCTCTCTATTCACAACTGTCAGCCCTTTTTTCCCCGTCCAAGAGAACTACGAAACGAGTATTTCTAGTACAGAATAAAAACCGAGCACTTCAAGCTTTAACTAAACTCATTTTTATTTTACAATTAAGACACAAAAATGGTAGTATTACAGAAATTAGTCCCCAACGAAAAGCTCGACGCGATAAGTTACATTAAATCTAATCCTAGACAGCTTCTTCGAAGTTTGCAATTCTAACAGAACAAACCTATTTTTTTCATTTTGTTGAAAAAAAAAATGTCTACTTGCTTAAAGCTTTATTTTCCAATTAATTAATGTCAAGTAGATGGTGATTGGGTAATCACCCACACAAGATCTCTGTAAGTTGAGATAGATGTACGCGTTTTAAACAGATCCACTTTAATAAGAGTACAAAAGACGATACAAAATAAAGGTGTTTAAAAATTACTTCTGGTACCATATTTTGCCTCTGGTGGGTACTCTTTACAGAACAAAGGAGGTTCAAAAAATGGCCTCTGGTGCCTTGTTATTGTTAAAAAAGTTAGTTATTTTCCATTGCTCCAGAAAAGAGGCCTTTTTTTTCATTTACTATAAAGAATGTTTCTTGTTTGTCGAATGTTGGGGGAGAGGTATTTTTACCAATATTAATAGAGTCGTAAGACGAGCGTTTTGAAGATGACAGTAAAATTAAATAACAAGTTAACGGAGGTTATCTTAAAAGATTATTCAAAACAGACACATTAATGGCAGAATATGTATAGTCCAAAGAAAACATCCTAACATCCGTTTTGCTAGCCTTAATAGATAGCAAAATACTAAGCTTCCGAGTGAAATATTTGAAACATTTCTAACGCTTAAATTCTCGTATTTAAGCTTCCAGATTCTGTATAACTGATGTCTCTGAAAATCGTCGATGGAGTTAACAAAAAGGTAGCTTTTGAGCATCTGTTTGTCCTCGTAGTAGAACTTCATCTTTAAAATACTTATTGAGGCATTAACGGTAGAATAGTTCACGTTAGGGTAATAAAGTTAGTTTTGGCACCTGTTTGGCTAATG